GGACCATAGGATGGACACTAGCACGAGGAGAGACAGGACGAGCACCAGGGGGACGACGGACCTGGTGCCGAAGAACAGGGGACTGGGGACGAAGGGGGGCGGGGGACAGGATAGGGGATGGAAGAGAACGTCGGGGGAAACGAGGGAAAATGGGCCGTAGATAGGGTCAGGCTGGAGAGGAGGCATAGTAAGAGGGACGGACGGTCAGTCAGGGGAACCATACGAAAGACCAAGGAGACGAAGGGCAGATTGCGGCTGCCACTGCTGCCTATCCTCTCGAAGATCTCTAGCTCCACCTCGGCTACCCCCTGTACTCTCCGAGGCAGCACCCCGTGGTTTAGCACCCTCTTATGCTCCTCCCATAGAGCCAGCACCCCCAGAGTTAGCACCCCAAGAACCAGTACCCCCAGATTCAGCACCCCCAGATCCAGCACCCCCAAAGCCCACTGCCCACTACTACTGCGGCCGCGGCTGCTGCTGAGGCAAGGAGGGAGGCTGTTCAGGTCCTTAGGGTACCTGGGAAGGGGGAGGCATCGCAAGAACAGCACACGCACCCCCAGCGATGGGCCCCTCAGAGTTAGCAGACTCCCCCATGGGCTCAACCGAGGGCAACGAAGTGGCGTGAGGGACACGAGACGGAGCCGGGCGGGGTGGGAGGGGTGCAGCGGGGGGGGCAGGGGCGAGGAAGAGAGGAAGAGGAGGGTTAGGAGAGTTACAGTGAAGGAATCACCGGTAGTAGGGTAGCACTTCGTCGAAGGTACTGTAACGCCACGAGAGCGGTAGAAGCGGTGGTGCATCGGGTGGCAAAACAGTCAGTCATGGGTGTCAAGAGGAAAACCAAGGAAGGCATGGGGGAGAGTGCAGGTTGAGAGCTTGTCCGCGCAAGTGGAGCGGACGTGAGTAAGGCTGCTCGAGGCGTAGAATGCAGAGGCGTCACCATAGGACCCAGTCCAGAGAAGGGTCGGCAAAATCTATGGTCGTAGGGAGCGCAACCACATGTTAAGTTGGTGAGTTGCGTAGAGCTCAGCGAACAGCCACAGAAAATGGGTGCACCAGCGTGGGCCAAGGAGGTGCAAGCTACCTTCATGACCAGACAGATGCATCGCACAGTGACCCCATTCTACTGTGGGGAGTCCGGCAGTGTGTATGGCTGGCGGATGCCCGCCGCACGACATAACTGTCCTAGACAGCCCGAGGTGAACTCATCAGTACGTTCAGAGAGTAAACGAGCCACGGACAAGCGCCGTTGGGTGCGGGCAGCACTCAATCACAGGATTAGAACATCAGGCACGTTGGCATTCCAGTAAAGTGAGAACACCATGGTGGAGCGCGAGAAGTCGTCAACTATTTGACGGAAGCGCTCCCTAGTAAGACCATGGATCAGGGCAGGGCAACAAACGTCCTTGTGCAGAGGTGCTGTGGTAGGAGGAAATGAGGTGGAGAGAAGGGTGGTGCACAGGGGCATTATTGATGCTGTCAGAGTTGAGAGTGACGCAAGAAGACCAATGAATAGATCGTACTGGGACATGTGCTCAAGACGCGGGAGTGCAGGGTGACCTAAGCGGTGGTGCCACAGAAGGACCGGGTGGGCGAGGGAAAGACAGGAGAATGGCATGGCTACCTCAGCAGATGCAGCAAGTGGTGGGAACTGAATGTGCACGGTAAAGAGACCAGACGCAGGATGTGAGACGATGAGGCAAGCCAAATCCTTGATCACAACCATTTGCTATTTGCTATTTATTGTGTGTCATTTTGTGTGTTTTTCCTTTCCAAAAAATCCCTACACTCTATCCTACACATCGATATATTCTATATTTATCATACTGTATATGTTACAGAGTGTTTCGGACTTTCCTTGCGTGACACATTTTCTATTGCGTGGAGTCTTCCGTCACCGTATCTCTAGAATCCCTACCATGCTTTTAGGTGGTGTTCCTACGGACGGTTCCACTCATTTCTATAACTCTCTTAGAAGGTCCTAGTTACCCTTCCCTAGAGCTCTCGTATGTATAAATAGCATTGCCTCTTTGCTTGTAGAGAGACATTCAATTCTTCATTCAAGCTTCCGCTAAATCCTGGACCTGTGACACAAGATCATGCTAAAAAGTGGCTACTCGTGACTGTCCATACAGTCCGCGTGTCTCGCGTAGCCAGGAAACGTGATGGTGATTCCTCGGTCGTGGAGGTGACCAACTAGGTTTCTGGCAAACATAGGGATGTCCAGCTGTGAGGGAGCTAGAGGGGACAGCAGGACAAGGAAGGGCGGTGGTGCTGCGTGCGACCACAGCAGCGGGGGAGTCTGCTAGGGAGATCTGGACTGGTGTAGGGAGCGGGGTGAAGGCACTACCATCTCAAAAGAAGTAGTGAGACACGCCACAGCCGAGTAAAAAGGAGAGGGTTGTCGTAGGAGGAGCAGGGGAGGAGCCTAGGGGACACGTAGCAGAGGCTCCTAGACTAGACACAGCAGTGAGACCTAGACCCCCAGGCCCCCAGTTCTTTA